TCTGTGAGCGACTTTGTTTTGTGCTTTTATTATGATTATTGTTATGGCGCCGTTTCTTAAAAGCTTTTTGCTTAAAACGCATTTTAAATGTTAATTAAAATGTGTTTATTTCTTAAAGCAAATCATTAACAAGTTTCTGGCCGAGGTGTTTAATTTTTAATTTGGGAACCCATGCCCAATATTCGCATGGGAGCTGGCTAAAAAATTACTAAACATGAGATTATAAATGAGTGTGCAACGGTTCAGGTCTGAAATTGAAATCAGAAATCATTTTTCAAATGGGTATGCAAATTAGCATTTTCCATTTATTTTTTCCCTGTACCTATTATTCTCCTTTTTCCGTTCGGGTATAACAAATGAAAATTTTCATCTTAGCTGTCCTGTCTTTTCCCAAAACAATTAAAAATAGCAAAAAGGATGCCGGGATAACTGGGACTGGGAGCTCCATTGGAGCTTCGTTCATCATGTGAAATGCACTTTAGTGAAGAGGAAAAAGCTGGTCCGGAAGAAAGGAGGGGCAGTGAATCACAGTTCATTAATTTAAAATGGCCTCATGCCGGTGTCAGCCTGGATGCCTGGCCCGGTGTCCAGGTGTCGGTACTTTCTCGGCTGGGAAATGCATCCAGCGATTTTGAGCTCGGCCTGGAGGCAGAAAATTGCCTTAGCCAACTGACAAATGAAACTTGTTTGCTCCTCCGACCGCCTGGCTAGAGGTGAGGTGAGATGTGGCCACGTCCCAGAGCTCCGGCCAGTGGGAGTTACACGGGCTACAGCTAATGGTAATAGAACAACCTAACAGTTGTACCAACCTACCTCTTGAATATTTGAAAATGGCTGCCCTGTCATTAGCGGAAGAATGATGAACACCACACTACGGAGGAGAGTGTCAAAAAAAAGTGTGGGAATAGGTTGGAAAGCGGCATACAATTTGAAAAATTATAGACCAAGTGGTTGGTTATAATACACTTACATATATCATACATAAAAATTGTACCAAATATCTTGTGTTGTATGTAACTTGTCAAAAATGCGAGTCGTCAGAACTTCTTCGGCCCCCCATCTGGATTTTTCCATCGCCAAGTCACTCTCATTGGCCAGCTTCCATTACACCCACACTTTGTCCGACTCCGCTGTCACCATCCAATTGCCAAGCTAATGGATCGCAGGCGCAGTTAATAACTCTACCTCCGAAGGCAATAAAAGTGTGCCAACTTGGTAACTCGAACTGCCAAAACCAAATCGGATTCTCAAAGCGAACCGGGAGGCAATTAAAAACTCAACCGCAAAACCGTTGTTAATGACAGCCGGAGAACAGGAATGGGACGCGGGACAGGATCAGGATTCTGTCCTGACCACGTGTGACAAATTGACGCTTTTTAATTTTGCCCTGCACCCACACCTCTTAAAACGCAAACGCCACACGGATCCAGCATCCCCCAGACCCGACGCTCCGGAATCCCAAGTTTTCTGCTGATTGATGACATCGTTGTGGTTGTTTTTGTGCTCCGTGTGCTGCTGATGCCTTTAAAAAGGTGTTTTCATTTTGCATGCGAAAACATCGCCCTGATTAATTGCCAGGCGAGATCGCGAGGGTAAAGGGGCTACAAGCTGGACAGTAGCTTCCCATTAAAAAAAAATTGGAATTTCTATAAAAAAAAAAACAAGTTTGCTTCGCTCTTAATAAAAATTCAAACAATCTTGTTTATCTTTCAAATGTAATATTTATTTTTTATATCGATAGGAAACCTATTTATTACCCAAAAAGGCGTGTGCCAATTTTCTCTCAGTACACTTTATTTAACAAATGATGTGCATGTCTGGGGAGCCGATAAGTAGCCTGCGAAATGCAGTCGGAGCTCATAATAGAGTTGAAGTGGCGCTGCGACCGCGACTCCGACTCCAACAGCGACTTCGAGGCAACCAAATCAAAATGTTAATGACACTCTTAATACAGTTATCACGGAATGGTGCGGCCAGGATCGCGGCGGAGATCTGGCCACTTGACCGAGCCTTTTAACATTTTTGCCATAGCCGAGTGCCCATCGCTGCTCCATCCTCGCTGTTAAGTTGTCATTTCCATTATGACCATGTCGCTTTAGCATTTAACAAATAGTTGAGACATTTACAAGCGGCGATAAGCGACGGCACAGGCACTCCAAATGCTCGACGATTTGTGTTAATGTATTTATGCCCGAGACGAGACGAGCCGAGAGGCGAGCTTGGACAGCGGCTAATTGATGTCGCCTTTGGGAAGCAAAGTTTAATATTCATATGGCCAGTGGTACCCCGGCCTCTCACATTAATCAAAGACAGCGGCCATAAAGCCTCATAAATATATGTTACATCGCATCGTGGCCCACGCAAAGTCCAGTTCCAGGCCATAATTGTCTGGCGCTTTTGACAAGCTAACGCGATATGACAAGACAAGTCAACGGCCCATCAAAAAACTTATCAGAGAGAGGCCACAAAGAACTCCGGACCGGATGTGGCCGAAGTGGATGTGGATGTGGATGCGCTCGGTGGGCCATAGCCTGCCCGTGGCCATTATTATGCCCTTTGTCCATAAGCGATCGTGTTGACAAGAGGCCAAGCTTCGTGAATGAAAGCCAAGAAAAATTATAAAGCGATAAAGCCGGGCAACACGCCGTCCCTGAGTCAAACAAAGAAAACTATCAAGAACATAAATATGCATATCGAAAATGGCTTAGACAATATCAATTTGTCAAGAGATATGATAGAGAGCAATGGAGGGAATAGGCCTCGTTGGTGGGCGTTTCTATTGTCTTACCAAATGGCCAGCGGAGCAATTTTAAATCGATTTGTCATTGAAGGCAAGTCAAGCATATGGCTGGAACGGAAAGGAGTTTGGTTAACCAAAATAGGGGAAAAATTGAGTAATATCTACTATATACTAGGCAGCCAGTCTCTTTATAATCACATATTCTTAAACCTTAGAGATATATATTTTTTCCGCCACTTTTGCAACTCTTCATTATAAATCATTTTCATCGATCATTTCCTTGAACCGAGTTAGACCTTTTGAGGCAATGGCCAAGGCAATCAGCGAAAACACTTCCGATGAGATCTCGTATTTGATTGCAGGCCATTTATTGCAGTTATTTATAGGTTTAAAGAGTGAGAGCTCAATACGTTGCAACAGCACGTCCGGCGTACACCTTTTGCGTCATTTTCGCAAAACGTTTTGTTTGAAATTGAAATTGGTTTTGTTTCGCAAGACAATTTAACCGCAAATCGGCTAAAACGATAGGCCCGCCCCCTTTAGGGGCCGACCGTTTATGAAAGCCCATCTCAAAATGAAACTCTGAGAACGGATTGGAGTTCGACTGCGATTTAGCATACCCTACAAAAAAAGAACGAACTACAAAATTGGACACGGCGCATCAGGCAAGCACGTTTCGTATTAAGAAAATCGTCGAGGCCGTAACGACTGGCCAAGATCTGGGTTGGGTAGGAGGTTGGTATCCAGGTATACTAAATCCAGCCTTAACCCGCAATTGGTATGGACTCTGGCCATGGCGTCGTGTATCCTATGAAAGACAGACATTCGCAGCGAATCAATTTCAAATAGCCATCCGGGCCATCGTTTTGGCCATCATCAACCAGGCAATTGCTGATTGCCGCAAAATAATTTTTGCATTTCGAACGGCAACAAAAACTCTTTGAGCTGATGTTGATGAAAACGATTTTAAATTATTTTATTGCAATTGCAAAATTGTATTGCCCGACTGGTTCGCTTTCAGCTTGGCTTCATATCCAGCTTTAGCCATGGCAGACTGAGTTTGGCTTACGCCCTCCCCGCGCCCCATGGCTGTATCAATTTTTTGCGCTTTTTCTGTTTTATTGCTACTCCATTAAAATTGAATTGACTTTTTGTTGCTGTATTCGTTGCTTTGCTATTGCCATTGCTATTTCTGTGGTGCCTGTTATTGTTGAAAATATAATAATGGTTATTACGCTGAAACGATTGTGCGATTGTTGTTAAATTAAAAATTATTGATTATGGCGGAGATACCGCAGTGAAAAAATATTCGTTGAAAGGTTAATTTCCATAAATTTAAATAAAAAAAACAAAATATTAGTAAAAAATAAAATTTAAATAAAATGTTTAAAGAAAATATTGTATTTGACATTAAAAAAAAACATTGAGGAAATTTGTTGAATTTCGCATTAAATTCTATTAGTTTTTTTTTTAAATTTAATCATAAATAAGAGTACTTTAAAGCAGTGGTCGGCACCCCAATACATTGATATGATTTTACCGCATTAGTGTAAGTAACGAATAGCAGAAAGTAGGCTGTGAGCATGACGTTTCACACATGTATACTGTGTGTGTGTGGCAGAGCTCGGGCAGAGAAATTTCCTATGCCCCCGAGATAGGGCCGTGCCGACCTCTGCTTTAAAGCAAACGTCTTCTTAGTAACCACCAACAACCGCCGAAATCTTCATTTCCGGTTGGTATAAGTAGTTATCTTGATTTCTAAACAGATGTCGCTTTAGGGGACCCAACAGATCCATGCAATAGGTGGCGCTATAGAATTCAAAGGTATGGCAGCGCAGAAAAACTGTTCCAAGCCTGGCAGCTCCAGGCACATTCAAATTTCGAAGAACGTTGGAATATTAAGCCTCTCATTTAATCTAGATGAATAATTCGTTAAATCTTCCGGTATATATAAATTAGTTTTGGTTACTGAATATATATTGTCAAATATAGAATGTAACTTTTTTTTGATTTTGTTTTCCTTTGTTGTAATTTTAAACTATAAATATTTTTAAAAAATCATTTAACATTTTATTATTTAGTATCTAAAATCATTTTTTACACACACATAAACAATTAAACAGTTCAAGCTACCGAATATTTTAACATTATAATTATTATTACTATTTATGCAAACTCATATATATATTTTAATTTTTTTTGTTATTTTGATTTTAAAAATTCATTTGATAAAGATGCACTTAAATATATAATTTTTCAGAGAAATGTATACAAAAACTATTTAAAATTAAATATAAACCTCTTACAAATAGGACTTAAGGGTTATGAAGGTGATTTTCGTAGCTACCTTTGTACAGATTAGGATAATTAATAACATAATCACAATTTTTTAATGGCTAATGCGGTTCAACTGTCAATGGCACAGGCAATTCTTCTACTTTACGAAAATCACATCGTCTTCGTCACTGGAAGTGCTGAGCGTTTGGACTCGACGGCGCTTGTTAGGAGGAGGGTCTGGCGGTAGTATTCCCAATCTCCGTTGCCTTCGCCTTTCCTTTAAAATTCTTTCGGCTTTCTCTAATGGACATTCGGAAACATCAAGTCCCCTTTCTGTTGTCGAGGTGTCATCGTCAACGATGAACGAACCGGCCAGGTACTGGGATGTGTCATCTTCCACTGGTTGGGAGAATATTTGGGAGTCATTGTGATAAGCCCTAGGAGCTGGCATTTTAAAGGCACCGGGTCGTTGTATTGGGCTCCTAAAAATATACTTTTAAGACCGTTTTCTTTAAAATAAATATGTTATCAATGTTACCTTGCTGCCTGGAGGTAAATGGCATGCATATTAGTGTCGTTATGATCATCTTCATCGCTTGAAACTATCACAGAATCCTTCAGGTAAGTGCCAATAGTGGTCTCGGCTTCCTCATCATGATCCGATCCACTTTTTTCGGCCTCGTCGGCAATAAATGAGTTAAAATATCTCCGTTTCTTTCGAGCGTGTAATGGCGGCGATGGTGTATCCAGCTAGAAAAGAATGTCTATTAACTTAAAGCTCACAATAGTTCTAGTTTTCAATATATCTACCATTTGGGTATCAGGAATTTGCTGGACATCATCGAAATCACAGTCAGCCTGCGTGCTTGGTACTTGAGACATGGGCTTTTCATCCTCCTCATCCGAGCTTATGATTATCTTCCTTTTTGATGGACGTCGTATCACAGGGGAGTCCTCTTCATGCACATTTTTGAGAGTCGTGGGTGTGTTTGTAGAAGTCATCCGATGTAGAGAGGCAGCTGCTTTGGCTAGACGTCCCTGACCCCGCATCCGCTTCAGATACAGATCGAATATACTCGGCGATTTCTCCTGGCCTAATGGGTTCGTGGGTTTACGGTTTTCGGGAGATTGGCAGTTCTTGGAGGTTGATGGAATACATGGAGGCTTTGATGAAGCTTTGGCAGCCAATTTGGCGGCCAGAGTTTTGCCTTGCGGCTTCCAAGGCGACAAGGAATCGCAGTCGAAAATATTAGGTGAGCCACAGGGAGCAGAGTGGGGATTATTTTCTTTAGATTCTATTGTCGGTGAAACCAGTTCCCTTTTCGGTGGACTGTTGAGTTCCAGTGGCTTTGGCAGTGATTCCACAATATTCTTTTCTTTCTTTTGGCTCATTAACGCGACTTCCTCGGCCATGGGTTCTAGAAAATCATCGAAATCTTCCAGATTTAAATCCAAATCATTGTTACATATTTCTTTTTTCGGTTTTAAATCCTCTGGATGTCCCTTGATACCATTCTTGCCCTGTTGACTCATCAATTCCACTTCCTCAGCCATGGGCTCCGAAAAACCATCGAGATCCTCAAGAAATAAATCTTCTTCCTTGACTTTCTCTTGATTTTGATTAACATTTGATTCAGTTTTCTGGTCGTTGCCATCGCTATTCTTTTGCTGGCTCATTAAGGCGACTTCCTCCTCCATGGGTTCATCAAAAATATCCAGAGTGTCTTCTACCTTGACTTTCTCTTGGTTTTCCAAACATGTTGATTCAGTTTTCTGATTGTTGGAATCGCTTTTCTGTTGCTGGCTTGTTAGCGCCATTTCCTCTTCCATGGGCTCCAGAAAAATATCCATGTCCTCCAGAAGTGAAACTAATTCTTCTTTGCACTTGTCGAGCTTCTTCTGGCTTGTTAAGTCTTCTTCTTCTGGGATCGGTTCTAGTTCCAAGTCTTCAGGAGTGGACTCTACATTTTCCAGCTCTGGACAGGGTTCGGATTTTACAGGGCCTCCTCCTTGACTGGTGGGGTATATAACACTTTCCGTAATGGGAGGCGGGTCTGGACTTGGTCTTCCAAAGGACTCAGAGTTCAAAATCGAATTGCTCATCAAGCTATTTAAGCGGGATAGGTTGTCTTCCAGATTCGTGGCATCCTCCTTCGGAGGAGGCTCGAACATCAGTTTACTCAGAGGCTTGACTCTTATAGGCGTAGAACTGTGATGTATCGGCTCGAAGGGTTCAAGCTCAGTCCTCTGACTCAGGTACATGGAATCACATTGCTCCTCAATGGGATCTTCTATTTCCTCCTCCTCCCAGCTGGTTTCCACGCCGCCAAGTTGCTCATTTACCGTAGCTTCTAGATTCCGCATCTCCAGCTTTTCCAGAAGCTGCTGTTTCAGTTCAAAGTTGTCCGAATTCAGGCCTTGCTCCTCCAAGCCAGCAAATATTTTATCACACGTGGCCATGAACCGCCTCTCCCTCCTGGCGTCCAAGGGATCCTCCAAGTCTCTGAGAGTGATTTCACCAACTGACTCGTCAGCTTTCATTAGTTCTTCCATCTTCTCAGGACCATTGCATATATCTAGAATTAATTTGTAGTTATTCCTGGTGCGCTGTTGTCTGCTATTCAAGCGATTCTCCGCTATGTTGAGCTGGCTCTGAAGCTGCATCTTTGTGTGGATGTCCTTCACAAAGTAAGGATTACTCTGTAACATGTATAGTTTCAACGGTTGAGGCAGATGCTCATCGCGTAAATGGCTAATTAGATCTGGGGATTCCGAGATAATCGGCTTATTCGACTGCAGGAGACGGTTGAGCTTTCGGAGGCGCTGCACTTCCTCTTGACTACTGCTGGAGCTGGTTGTGGCCTGGGTTTCCACGAAGAAGTTCTTGAGGGTAATACTCCGCCGAGACACCTGCTCCTTCAACATTGCTTGGGAAGCTTCGCTCATGGTATAGGCTGGCATACCCTGCAGTATACCGTGCTGACTTTCCGAGGGAGGAGTCTCTTTAAAGTATTTTCGCAGGCTATCCGACTTCACTGGCGGTTCCTTTCGCTTCTTGGGCTCCTTTTTCTTGGCCGTGGGTTTTGGTTTTTCCTCAGGCGCCGCCTCCATGTGTTTCTCCTCGCACTTGGGGCTGAATTGTGGTGGCACCATGCGGGGATTGTGTTGGTACAGAGACAACTGAACGGCAGATGAGTTGAGGATGTTCCTGTTAATCTGATCCTTGTGGGCAAGCACGTCCTTGAGAATCTGCTGCTCCCGACCCTCGGTTACCAGCATCACGACTTCTCCATTCTTTTTCCTTCCCGTCCGCCCAATCCTTTGCACAAATCGAGTGGGATTGGAACTGCAGATGTCAAAGCACACAATCAACTCGACCTCACCCACGTCGATGCCCTCTTCCCCGATCGAGGTAGCAACTAGGACGTTACTAGTGCCGGATCGGAAATCGGCCATGATCTGGAGCTGCTGCTTTTGGGTGAGGGCATAGCTTGCTCCCACGGTGGCGCCCTGGCCAACGAAGCAGCGCGGTCGCAGGAGAGGTCTGTGCTGTAGCAGTAGGCGTTGAATCAGCATCACGGACTCACGATACTCACAGAACACAATGGCTCGGGAATCAGAATGTGACTGCAACAAGAAAAGGAGAGTTAACATAATGTTGTGGATCGAAAAGGAATCATTTCTTACTTCAAAGTGCTGGAGGAGAACCTGTCTCAACTTTTCGTACTTGGCGTGGCCGAAATCAAGATCAGCCGGCAGAGGGGGCACCTCGCCGTTTGTCATGGCACTTGTGGTGTAGTTCAATGGGTTCGCTCCCAGTTCCTGCCGCACCTGCTCCACCAAGTCCCTCAGTTGACGATCCCTCGCAAGGACAAACTTTTCCCTGCCGTCCTCGTCCGCATCAAAATTGTTGACAAAGACCCGCAGTCCGTGGCGTTCCATCAGCTCCAGAGAGTGGTAGAGACTGATGCACATGGAAAAGTTCCCCATAATGATGTTGTGCTCGGGGTGTCTGCCTTGGATCGATCGATCAAGAAACGATTTCTGCTCGTACAACAAGCTGTTCTTGCTTATGCTTCCCTTGTTCCCCTTGATAATATCCGCCTCAATGAGCTGCCTCAGATACGGCTCTATGATCTGCAGCAATTGTTCCCGGGGTTCCTTTATTCGATCCTTAATAGAAACAACTATGGTGCGAATAGTGCGACGGTGTATGTACGGCTGAACATCGATCGACGTATCCCAGCGTACCTGCAGATTAGAGATGAAAAGGTTCTGGCAAACGGTGGCCACGTCCTCCATGTTTCTGCCCGGAGTTGCTGACAGGGCCAGCATCCGGAAGTTGCGGTTGTGGGCCATCATGCTGTCTGCTACTTGCGTGTAGGCATAACGACCTTTCGCCCGATGTGCCTCATCCACCACAATCAGCTTGACGGAGGCAAAAGGAAACGTCGCTCCTCCTTCTGCTTCCAGCATGTCCGAGTGAACCACTTGAGGTGTGACGAAGAAGACTCGCTTCGTGGCCCATAAGTGAGCCCGTTTGGGGCGAGCCAGTTGTCCTGGAAAATTGAAATTTTATTAATAGTTCTAGGGTATAATCGTCTAATCCTTACCAGTCAGCTGCACAGTGTCAGCCGCGACAAATGGCATTATTTTTTGGGAGGCGTTGATCTGCTGGGCCACCAGGGGCCGGGTGGGAGCCATGAAGACAATTTTTCCCTGAGGATACCATCGGTAAAAGTTGTACATGACCACAGCCGCAATGAAGGTCTTGCCCAAGCCTGTGGGCAGCACCACCAGGGTGTTCTTGTATAGGGCCGACTGAACGATCGTCTGCTGGTAGGATCTCAGGGGCATGTTGGTTGGGTAGATCCAGTTGTGGCCAGCAGACATGTCGAAGCCCTCGCAGGCATCGTCTGCAACTCCAGGAGGGGACATTCTGGTCCCAGAACCGCTTTCCTGTTAACAGAGACTTTCTCAAAAACAATGTCTGGCGTAGAATTTCAAAAAACATACCTCGGTCTCCTGCTGCTCATGAACCGCCAATGCCGCCGCCAGCTCATCGTCATTATCGAGCCAATCCACATCCATCATAAGATAAAGAATTTGATTAAACAATCTGCGATCAGCATTATCAGATTAATGTTGTTTATTATTATTTTGTTTTTGCGCAATTAGTGTTGCCAATGCATTGCTGAAAGAACGCAGCGCCATCTACTGGGCAGAGCAAAATCTATCGCTCGATAACAAATGGATTTAGTTCCGATAACAGTTGGAACTGTATTTTTAAATTTTGGCGGGAGATTATAATTTTAAAATATTAATGTTTGTATTTTTGGTGTTTGAAAGAAACATTATAAAAAGTGTTCACACTGTTAAAAAGTGTTAAAAAGTTAAGAATAAAACCTAATACGTAATGTCTTTATTAAGTTGTGTTTTTTTTCTTAACTTGATTTGAATCTAGATTTTGTTCATTATGTGAATCTACCCCACAAGTTTTCCGGAAACAAATTTAAAACAGCGTGACGAGGGGCAAGCCCCATTAATTGTCGCCAGTTCGTAATTGGGCGACAGATTTTCCAAGCAATTTTGAGATATTTCTGCCGTAGATTTTCTGATTGTCTTAAATTAGGCGATTCCAGCGAATGATCCCACTTTTTCATAAACTTCAACTTTTGCGGGTAAAATCTGTGATAAATATATGTACATCTGATATTATTTATTATTTTTAAAAGAGGACTGGAAAATTGACAAGCCCAGTTTACTCTGAGATTGTGATTCGCCGAATCCTTGGCTTCTGCTGCTGATGAGGGGAAATGATAATTGGAGCCCTCGCACAGGATGGGTCGGGTTTAATGGAAAAACGTACGTAAATAGTAGCAATCTCATTAAAAAATCTCCACTACCAGGGCTTAATGAGCAACGACCGGGAGTGGGGAAGGGGGAGCCTCTCCCCGGACCCCAGGCGGGGGCAAAAGCCCCAGCGAACGCACTGAAATGTAATTATATCGCATTATTTGTCATTTCGAGCAAATGAATTGAAACAAATTTAGTGTGACAAATGAATTGTTCACTTACATGCGCGTCCGTGTGCCTTTTGTGGGGGTAATGGGTGGCGAGGTCGTCTGGGGGCGGGGGCTTGGAGGGACTGCCCGTGTAATGTTGGCAGCCACTGTGAGCGGGGACAGAAATATATGAACATACGACACACGGGTGCATGAGACACACTCAATTTGTCGGCTCTCTAGTCAATTTCATTTCATTTGCATGAAGTTCTCCGTCTGTGCGGGTTCCTCCCTCACGATTCCACCCCCTCGAAGCCCCCCTTTCGCTCGGCGATTGGTATCTCTCAGATATCTGTAGGCCATAGGCATTAGGCCTTTTGCCTAATTCAGCTTTATGAGCCATGTCTAATTACCAAATGAATTGTGCAATTATTTATTTTTGTTTATTAATTGGCTACCGTACTAATGAGCCTAATGGCCAGATATCTGCGTACATACATGGTATATGCCTAGATGGGATGTAGTCGTGTTTGGGTCCTATGTGCAGATTCGATGAGTCAGAGATTATCTTCGCCTGACATGGCCAACATAAATGTCATGACTTATGAGGCACTGATGCTGATCGGCCAAGTTTGCGGTTCCCGCCAGACCAATAGTCTTTTTCGACTTATCTCCGACGTCGCCAAGTCGCCAAGTTACGAGTATTTGCGGTCGGCACCATAACGAGCACTTTCCATACAAAGTTGCCAACGCTGGCAGCCAGCGGAAGCAGCCGCCATGGAAACACGGCAACATGGAAGCTTGGAAACAGGGCCACAAGGGCGCAGACCCATTTATGCAAAGTGCTTTCTGCCAAAGATGGGTGCGTGAAGGGTCGTTAATGGTGGCTCACTTAAAAAAATAATTATAATTATGCACTGAGAAACATGGAGTTGGTTAATAGTTGGAAATATTCTATCTCTTATAACTAACATAAATTAAATTGTATTGATTAAACCGAACTTCTTCATGAAACATACATTTAATAATAAACTTCTTTAATAATTTACTCTCTGTGTATGGTAAAGCTTAAGAAGCATTCTCATTCTGTGCCATTTGAAGGATGTATCTTGGGTTCGCAAACGAGCAATGCATCTGTGGCTTGTGCAACTCATTAGCACTTATTAAAAGTAAGTGCTGGGGTACCTTGGGCGGAAATGGGCCTGGATATTCGGTCCCAGTAACGATCACTTGGCGACAGCTGCGCCAGTCGGTAATCAACATTTCAGCAATTGTCTGCGGCAGTTGCCGTGTTACCTACATATACTACAGTATTGGTTGCATTTGGAGCAGCAGTGGAATTTTGTCGGTTGCCAGGTCTCGCAACTCAGTGGCGCGTGTCCCCAGCAGACAAACAAACAAACAAACAAACCAACAAACAGACAAACGAATGCAGTTAAAAATGGCTGCCAATTATCTGGGCTGCCATATTTGTTTCCCCTGCAGTTGCCGGGCAATCAAACATTTCGTTTATTAGCCACCACCCGATGGGTTACACCGCACAAAATAAGGTCCAAATAACATTAATTTAACCATTCATTTCTTTTCTTATACAAACTTTTGCTTGGGTAAAGGAAATAAAGTTGCAGATACCATTTTAGCCACAGATTCGAATTGTCCATTAGCTGAAATTGCCAAAAATTGCAGGCAAACTTTGTGTTAGCTCGTGTTTTCAGGCAGTTAGTGGCTTTCAAATAAAGGTAGCACCTGCAGAGCTAAGATATTCCAAACTCATCAGGACACGCCCATGCCGAGCCACGAACACTTCACACTTTCACAGGCCCAAGCAAAAAGGATGCGCCCCAAGCCGCTGTGAATCAACAAAATTAAATAACAAATTGGTCAACACAATTTCATTATAAAGGCAATAGCCAGATCCCCAAAAAGGTAGGCCCATCAACCCTTCATCAGATTACGGAGCTGCAGCTGCAGGCGCCGCTGCCAAGTCGATGCTCAAATCGATTATCCTGTGGCCAATCCTTTTGCATACGTGCCGCACCTGTTGTCATGGGCAGCTCCTAAGTGCTGGATGCCATGCAAACAAACGGGTTGCTGGAGCCGATGGAATGGCCATAGCTTGATGGCTATCGACTCTAATGGCGTCCAGGGCATCAAATTGTCCGACAGCTTTAATGGGCTGCCAGGCGGAAAGAGACAGTCTGAGAGGCTTCGCGGCGTATTAGTGTTAGCCTGGAAATTGGACACGGCCAACGGCCAGGATATGCTAGTAGAGCACGCAGCCCCGGCCCTCTGGCGGGTAGGTGTGAACTTCCAAAGACTGTGGCCGTTGCATAATTATATGCAATTTATACCGAATGCCCTGGGCCCTGCTCTCTTTTTCGGTGTCCTTCCTAGAAGGGCAGGCTACCGAGTTACCTGCTGGGTTGGAAAGGGATCAGCCTTCTCGGTTGGCGACCGGAGTGATCAATGAATGGAAGCCGCCTTCTATTTATTCATCAAATGTATGTGGGAGTGACTAGGCTAGCAGGTGGCCAAAATAAGGTTGCCAAGAAAAAAACGAAAAAACCGCACGTGTTAAAAATAGGGCACTAAAAAATTAAATAGATTAACTGTAGTCTTGGTAGTCTAACTTATTTTGTATAATAAATAACTTTAAATTACTCATTAAAAATATTCATATGTTTATAAATATATTCTTGATGGTAATGATATATTAAGTCTATGGTAATGTAAAGTAAATCGTGTAGAAAATCATAAGCGTGCTTAGGCCCCACTAACTTGACTATAACTTGCTTAATTAGCAGTCAATATCACGCACTTCATATAGTCCAATTAATTTAGCATATTACTACGGCTAACTATGAGTTACAAGTTGCTGTTGGTGTTGTTCTAGTTGCCGATTACTGTTGTTGGCAATTACCTGGCTCGCAACATCGTTGCTCCAGAGTTGACGGCTTCGGCTTCGTTTGTTGCAGCAGCGCCCAAGTCTGTTTGGGCCCCGACATGCAAATCAGAAATCACCATATTGCATGTTGTCAAGCTCCCCCTGGCCCTCCCCCAAAAACCTTGGTCCCTAATGATAGAGTTGACGGGCGGTGCAGTAAACGTCAAAACGTCAAGCGTCTATTAGCCTGATTTTTGCATGCGTCGGAGCTCCCGACTCCGGCTGCTTCGGCCCCCAGTCGTCCCGGCTCTCTGGTCTGGAAAATTGGCGGCGGCTCTATCGTTTTATAATCCTAGACCCATAAGTAAATAAAGTTGTGCACTAGTAAAAATTTATAAAAATTAAGAGGTGTCTTAAAAGATTTTTACCAAGTATTCCACTAACTTTGTATAAAGTTCTTTAGGGATATGGATGGAAAAATCAACCATATTATTTATTTTTCTAGTTAAATAAATGCACATTTCCCACTGCAGTTTCCTTGCATGCCATGTGCCATTTTATACCAGCTAACAAAAACCTGATCAGTTGCCCCCGTTTGCTCTTCTTGCCCAAATGCCCAGCATCGACTTTGTTTGTTCGTTAACATTCTAGGCTTAAATGGCATAGTTGAGTGTTGCATGCAACCTGCTTACAATGTTATCGTAGTTACAATATTTAGTAAATTTAGGCGTTTTTTTACTGTTTTGTCAGGGTGTCTCTACGAAATTCGTGTCATGAGCCCGGGCAATTTAGCGTTTAATGAGAAGGCGTTCGCTGGTCACTTAACTACAGTCGCCGCATGCAGGCCCTCACCATGGCCCCTCGATGCCTTCCGTCCGGCAATGCGGCACGTAATTGTGACTTGGCTCTTTTTTGTTAAATTTTTCGTATAGCTGCTTATTAATGCCGGGGCTCTAAGCAGCTCGTAAAGCCACTTGCGTGACACTTCAATGCTCCGCTTTGCCCACCGTCGATGCATGTAATTGCGGGTTTTGAAGCCCGGCCCAAGGAGCTATACTTCGTTGTTGCCCCATCGATGCAGTCGAGACAAACAAGCCAAATCGATCACTGGCTGGAGCCATCAAAAGCCATTAGGCTTATGACCTGGTTGTGTCACAAGTACTTAGCGGATGGGACAAGAAACTTTTCGATACAAGTTTTCTAATTTTCAACAATTTGCTAGGTCTTTCAATAGAAACTTGGATGGGATAAATTTTTTTTAATTTTAAATTTTAAAGCTTAAAGCTTAAA